AGTGGAGAACAGTTGTTTAAACTGTAATAAAACACTTGGCGGTTTATTAAGTGAGATCTCCTGCTCTACTCACATTACCGCGAAAACAATAAACACAATCTATTCTTCACCGATTACAAAGGAACCGATGACAATGGGTAAAAGTTGAGATAATCTGGTGGCAAGTGAGACCTGATCTGTTTATTTTAGAGCTGTATCGTCTTTAATTACAGAGAAATAAATGTAAATAAAACAAAGAAAGAAAAAAGTATGACATCAACAGATTTAATCATAATTCCTGATCAGTTGAAAGCACATTTACGATTTTAAAATAAAAACAGCCGATGCTGAGCATTAAAAAAGCGATAAGCAATTAGTATTATCGACATACAGTGCTATAACATGTCCTTCTGATCGATTTTCGTGCTCCTATTGCGCGAAATTGTAACAGTCCACCTGGAGCGTCATTGATGACAGGTAGCACGCTCTGACGTCAAAGATGAGCGACTTCCTGAGCTGCGCATTCGTCTCACACACAGTCAATCTATTTGCACTGAGCCGATACAGTGCGTTATCACCATCAACTGCTTTCTGAGTAGACTTGAGGAACACACGATTTTTAATCTTTATGAATGTCAAACCACATAATTATTCCAATTTATTTTCCTAAGTAAACGAGTTCAACTGCAAAGGTGATATTCCTTACTTGTTTCCATATCTATATTTCTCTCCTCATCACTTTTTACTTTTGAATTTGATTTCCCCTCCCATTTTCGCAATATCGCACCTTTATTTACTGATTAAGTCCTGCAAGTTCAGAGACAAGACGTGAAGTGTATTGGTTTGTTATCATCCAATAAAACATTGGAAATTTTCTTGAACATGATTTGTTAAAAGCCACAGTGTGTTCTACTTCATTGGATATTCTTGTAGGTTACACCCTACATAATGCATATCGGCCGTGAATCGTTTCCGAACTATATCAGAAGTGCAAATCAGAGATGATAAAAGTATTTTAGCCTTTACACGACCGTTTGCCACGCCCACGTGTTTACAGGTAGGTTGTAAAACTTCCAAGGTCAATATTGGTCAAAGAGGTCATAAAATTTTAAAAATTCACCAAAAATCAAGTTATCGTTATATTCATATGAAAAAAATTATACATCTCTATCAGTATGTTTATTTTTAAATACAACATTTTTCAATAAATTTTATTTTAAATATTTAGGAGAAAAAAATTTTTTTTATCATAACTGACATCCAAAGTTCAAAATTCACATTTTCCAGTTACTTCGTTTTTATTGGAACTGGGCCAGAATGATGTAGAATATTGTTTCCTACAATTATATATAAGTTTTATGCATGTACGTATTTTCGTTTTCAAGTTATCACACATTAATAAAAAACAAACGTATTAATTTTAAGCAAATTTTCACTATAATATAGTAAGCTTTATTTTTGTTAACATAAGCAAAAATTAAAATATTTTTACATAAATATAATAATTAGAATACATGCGTTGATATTTTACAAAAAATTCAATATTAATAGATATAAAATAGATATAAAAAATGTAGAAAAAGTAGACAAAAATGCATCTGTGATGCTGGCAGGTACAAATCTGTAAGAGAGTATTTATTTATTGAATATGCTGCAAAATGCTAATACATATAAATTTAATGTGAAACTCGATTACATACCTTACTAGTAATTGCAAAAATAATAAAAAATAAAAAAGTAGAAAAAATGCATCTATGATGCTGCAAGCACTAAATCTGTAAGAAAGTATTTATTTATTGAATTTACTGCAAAATGATAATTCAAATAAATATGATGTTAAATTTGTGATCAGAATTATATCACATACTTATCCTATCAGCAATGATGTTTTGGAAAACATTCAGGATGTAATCCTTTCAAACAGTGCGTACATATTGTTCTCGATCTTCTTTTTAGGCCTAAACTAGTGCAAACACAGCATCTAGATTCTTTTTTTGCTGGCAATTTTCGCAAATCTCTTGGTCCTAGAGGATGAGGATCTTCAGGTTGTTGTTTGGTCGCCATCCATTCCGCCTCCAAGATCTCTATTATTGATACGTAAAAGGCGTACCTGGGTTTTAGCTTTCCTGGGCCTCCAAAATTTTCTTTGTATAATATATATGAGTTCAACACCATCCTGCCTATGATGTTGAACCCAACTTTCTTCCAGTATTTCACGGTCTTTCTCTCATCCAAGTACGCATATAACATCATATCTGACGTATCGACCCCACCCATAAATTTATTGTATTCTAATATTATTTCTGGCTTTGACTTAGTTACATTACGCTTAACAATTTCTTTTGCACGCGCCCTCGCATGGCTGGATAGTAGCAAGACCGGAACTTTTTGAGATGCTTTTTCTCTGAATCCACAGGCTAACAACGGCCCGGATCTAAAATAAGATGTTTGGCCCACGGAAAACTTCGACGATTTTAGTGGGGCGGGCAGGTATTTTCGATTTCATCGAACAGTGCCAGTTATGTAGGTACCCATTGTATATAGATGTCGAACAAGAGGAACCGACATGAAGAAATTATCTACAAAAAGATGATAGCCTTTTTTGAGGTACGACGCTGTATCCTAGACCAAATTTAGAATTGATGTCCTTTTCCTGCTGAGTCCTGGCCCCTCTATAAGTGAAAAAACTCAAGCAGTAATTAGAGACTGAGTCTCACAGCATCCAAAATTTTATGCCCCACTGATGATGATGTTTTTTTGGAAGGTACTGCAGGAGCGAGGTTTTATTTTTTGTACCTACAAGGCTCTCATCCACACAAATTTGCTGGTGTGGCGTGTAGTGATGTCGGAACACTCTGTTAGCATGATCAAGCAGGGGTTGAAACTTTGCACAAGGATTGTATCCTTGTTCCCCTGGCTTGGATAACTTAGTGTTATCGACAAAATGGAAAAAACGTAACAAGTGATAAAAGCGGGTTCTTGGAAACATTTTACCAAACCATGGAGTGGTTTGGGAGGAAGAAGTGGACCAGTAGGATGCTATTGTAGGCTTTTTGATTAATCCCATGTTCAATATACATGCTAGGAACCCCTTTATTTCTAAAACCGAAATTTTGGTCCAGTTCTTCAGAGCAGGCGGTACGTTATTCCCCATGCCATTTATGACTTGTTGTGCGTAATGGTTTGATTCCGTTACGACCAGATGGAGCAAAGTCATTGTAATAAAAAAATTGAAATACGCAATCGGAGGTGAATCTGGCGGTGGCATGTGCTTAGGGCCAGCAAGATCTAGGAAAGAAAAAGGAAGTGAAGAAGATTGCTCCGGAGATATAACCTCCTGATAGTCCTCATCATCGTCATCACTTCTAGATTGCATATGATTATTAGAGAGGCTTGGAGAAATCATATCGTCATCACATCATCATCTGAACTTTCGTACATGCTGACATCAAAGTCGGAGTCTGACTCAGATATAATATCTGAAAAATTTTTTATGTAGTCCATAAGGTCAGATTCATCCATCATTTTCTGAGCTTTTGATGTAGATGCCATTATTGATCAATAAATATTCATAAAAATCGAAAAATCTAATAAAAAAAAAAAAAAACTATATGTAATGAAATGTTACAATATATAACTAAAACTATTATAAATAAAATTACGACAAATAAATCGAAAATATAAAACGAAACAATTACGAATAATTTATTATAAATATGATTTGATATAAAATCAAAATTTATAAGTTGAATTATAAAAAGTATACTGTATATATCTAAAAAAGTGTATTACTTCATTTTATATATAAAACTATATATAAAAATAAATAAATAATTATATAAAATGAACAAAGAACAAATATGGAACCTTACCTGTAACACACACAACAGTAAACTTCGTGCAACTAAGCAAAAGTGAACTTTGAAAATTCATAACAAAGGTTATATAGGTCAACATGACACCACCTGGACACAAATATGTGAAGTATAGAGTAAACTATACGTTCCCGTAAAGTGCTGGCATCTGTTGTCAACAGATTTTATAAAAAATTATTTTTACTAAAGTGCACACAAATCGTTACCCTAGTGATTTTCGTAAACGATAGGGGGTGCGACAGATCGGTACCCCGGTTTTAAGTAGGTTAACCTTTAGATGACCGGATTGCCCCGCCCACGTGTTTACAGGTAGGTTGTAAAATGACCAACGTCAATATAGGTCAAAGAGGTCATAAAATTTAAAAAATTTACCAAAAATCAAGTTATCGTTATATTCATATGAAAAAAATTATATATCTATATCAGTATGTTTATTTTTAAACACAACATTTTTCAATAAATTTTATTTTAAAAATTTAGGAGAAAAAAAATTTTTTTTTGATCATAACTGACGTCCAAAGTTTAAAATTCGTTACTTTTTGTCAAAATTCACATTTTCCAGTTACTTTGTTTGTATTGGCAATGGGCCAGAACGATGTAGATGTAGAATATTGTTTATTACAATTATATGTAAGTTTTATGCATGTACGTATTTTCGTTTTCAAGTTATCACACATTAATAAAAAACAAACGTATTAACTTTAAGCAAATTTTCACTATAATATAGTAAAATTTATTTTTTATTTAACATAAGTAAAAATTAAAATATATATACATAAGTATAATAATTATAATATATGCGTTGAAATTTCACAAAAAAAATTAATATGAGTAGATATAAAATACATATAAAAAATGCAAAAATGTAGACAAAAATGCATCTGTGATGCTGGCAGGTACAAATCTGTAAGAGAGTATTTATTTATTGAATATGCTGCAAAATGCTAATACATATAAATTTAATGTGAAACTCGATTACATACCTTACTAGTAATTGCAAAAATAATAAAAAATAAAAAAGTAGAAAAAATGCATCTATGATGCTGCAAGCACTAAATCTGTAAGAAAGTATTTATTTATTGAATTTACTGCAAAATGATAATTCAAATAAATATGATGTTAAATTTGTGATCAGAATTATATCACATACTTATCCTATCAGCAATGATGTTTTGGAAAACATTCAGGATGTAATCCTTTCAAACAGTGCGTACATATTGTTCTCGATCTTCTTTTTAGGCCTAAACTAGTGCAAACACAGCATCTAGATTCTTTTTTTGCTGGCAATTTTCGCAAATCTCTTGGTCCTAGAGGATGAGGATCTTCAGGTTGTTGTTTGGTCGCCATCCATTCCGCCTCCAAGATCTCTATTATTGATACGTAAAAGGCGTACCTGGGTTTTAGCTTTCCTGGGCCTCCAAAATTTTCTTTGTATAATATATATGAGTTCAACACCATCCTGCCTATGATGTTGAACCCAACTTTCTTCCAGTATTTCACGGTCTTTCTCTCATCCAAGTACGCATATAACATCATATCTGACGTATCGACCCCACCCATAAATTTATTGTATTCTAATATTATTTCTGGCTTTGACTTAGTTACATTACGCTTAACAATTTCTTTTGCACGCGCCCTCGCATGGCTGGATAGTAGCAAGACTGGAACTTTTTGAGATGCTTTTTCTCTGAATCCACAGGCTAACAACGGCCCGGATCTAAAATAAGATGTTTGGCCCACGGAAAACTTCGACGATTTTAGTGGGGCGGGCAGGTATTTTCGATTTCATCGAACAGTGCCAGTTATGTAGGTACCCATTGTATATAGATGTCGAACAAGAGGAACCGACATGAAGAAATTATCTACAAAAAGATGATAGCCTTTTTTGAGGTACGACGCTGTATCCTAGACCAAATTTAGAATTGATGTCCTTTTCCTGCTGAGTCCTGGCCCCTCTATAAGTGAAAAAACTCAAGCAGTAATTAGAGACTGAGTCNTGACTCGTACAACATGTAATTCAGATAAAACGGAAAAATCAACGATCTTATAGGGGGGTCGACTGTACTTATCCTATCAGCAATGATGTTTTGGAAAACATTCAGGATGTAATCCTTTCAAACAGTGAGTGCAAACTGTTCTTGATCTTCTTTTTAGACCTAAACTAGTGCAAACACAGCATCTGGATTCTTTTTTGGCAGGTAATTTACGTAAATCTCTCGGTCATAGAGGATCTTGAGGTTGTTGTTTTGTAGCCATCCATTCCGCCTCCAAGCTCTCTATTATTGATATATAAAAGGCGTACCTCGATTTTAGCTTTTCTGGGCTTCCAAAATTTTCTTTGTATAATAGATATGAGTTCAACACCATTCTGCCTATGATGTTGAACCTAACTTTCTTCCAGTATTTCACAGTCTTTCTGTTATCCAAGTACGCATATAACATCATATCTGACGTATTGACCCCACCCCTAAATTTATTATATTCTAATATTATTTCTGGCTTTGACTTAGTTACATTGCACCTAACAATTTCTTTTGCACGCGCCCTTGCGTGGCTGGATAGTAGCAAGACTGGAACTTTTTGAGATGCTTTCTCTCTGTATCCACAGGCTAGCAACAGCCCAGATCTAAAATAGGATGTTTGGCCCACAGAAAACTTCGACAATTTTAGTGGGGCGGGCAGATATTTTCTATTTCGCCGAACAGTGCCAGTTATGTAGGTACCCATTGTATATAAATGTCAAACAAGAGGAACCGACATGAAGAAATTATCTACAAAAAGATGATAGCCTTTTTTTGAGGTACGACCCCGTCTCAAGCAGTTTATTTACGACGCTGTATCCTAGACCAAATTTAGAATTGATGTCCTTTTCCTGCTGAGTCCTGGCCTCTCTATAAGTGAAAAAACTCAAGCAGTAATTAGAGACCGAGTCACACAGCATCCAAAATTTTATGCCCCACTGATGATGATGTTTTTTTGGAAGGTACTGCAGGAGCGAGGTTTTATTTTTTGTATCTACAAGGCTCTCATCCACACAAATTTGCTGGTGTGGCGTGTAGTGATGTCGGAACACTCTGTTAGCATGATCAAGCAGGGGTTGAAACTTTGCACAAGGATTGTATCCTTGTTCCCCTGGCTTGGATAACTTAGTGTTATCGACAAAATGGAAAAAACGTAACAAGTGATAAAAGCGGGTTCTTGGAAACATTTTACCAAACCATGGAGTGGTTTGGGAGGAAGAAGTGGACCAGTAGGATGCTATTGTAGGCTTTTTGATTAATCCCATGTTCAATATACATGCTAGGAACCCCTTTATTTCTAAAACCGAAATTTTGGTCCAGTTCTTCAGAGCAGGCGGTACGTTATTCCCCATGCCATTTATGACTTGTTGTGCGTAATGGTTTGATTCCGTTACGACCAGATGGAGCAAAGTCATTGTAATAAAAAAATTGAAATACGCAATCGGAGGTGAATCTGGCGGTGGCATGTGCTTAGGGCCAGCAAGATCTAGGAAAGAAAAAGGAAGTGAAGAAGATTGCTCCGGAGATATAACCTCCTGATAGTCCTCATCATCGTCATCACTTCTAGATTGCATATGATTATTAGAGAGGCTTGGAGAAATCATATCGTCATCACATCATCATCTGAACTTTCGTACATGCTGACATCAAAGTCGGAGTCTGACTCAGATATAATATCTGAAAAATTTTTTATGTAGTCCATAAGGTCAGATTCATCCATCATTTTCTGAGCTTTTGATGTAGATGCCATTATTGATCAATAAATATTCATAAAAATCGAAAAATCTAATAAAAAAAAAAAAAAACTATATGTAATGAAATGTTACAATATATATAACTAAAACTATTATAAATAAAATTACGACAAATAAATCGAAAATATAAAACGAAACAATTACGAATAATTTATTATAAATATGATTTGATATAAAATCAAAATTTATAAGTTGAATTATAAAAAGTATACTGTATATATCTAAAAAAGTGTATTACTTCATTTTATATATAAAACTATATATAAAAATAAATAAATAATTATATAAAATGAACAAAGAACAAATATGGAACCTTACCTGTAACACACACAACAGTAAACTTCGTGCAACTAAGCAAAAGTGAACTTTGAAAATTCATAACAAAGGTTATATAGGTCAACATGACACCACCTGGACACAAATATGTGAAGTATAGAGTAAACTATACGTTCCCGTAAAGTGCTGGCATCTGTTGTCAACAGATTTTATAAAAAATTATTTTTACTAAAGTGCACACAAATCGTTACCCTAGTGATTTTCGTAAACGATAGGGGGTGCGACAGATCGGTACCCCGGTTTTAAGTAGGTTAACCTTTAGATGACCGGATTGCCCCGCCCACGTGTTTACAGGTAGGTTGTAAAATGACCAACGTCAATATAGGTCAAAGAGGTCATAAAATTTAAAAAATTTACCAAAAATCAAGTTATCGTTATATTCATATGAAAAAAATTATATATCTATATCAGTATGTTTATTTTTAAACACAACATTTTTCAATAAATTTTATTTTAAAAATTTAGGAGAAAAAAAATTTTTTTTTGATCATAACTGACGTCCAAAGTTTAAAATTCGTTACTTTTTGTCAAAATTCACATTTTCCAGTTACTTTGTTTGTATTGGCAATGGGCCAGAACGATGTAGATGTAGAATATTGTTTATTACAATTATATGTAAGTTTTATGCATGTACGTATTTTCGTTTTCAAGTTATCACACATTAATAAAAAACAAACGTATTAACTTTAAGCAAATTTTCACTATAATATAGTAAAATTTATTTTTTATTTAACATAAGTAAAAATTAAAATATATATACATAAGTATAATAATTATAATATATGCGTTGAAATTTCACAAAAAAAATTAATATGAGTAGATATAAAATACATATAAAAAATGCAAAAATGTAGACAAAAATGCATCTGTGATGCTGGCAGGTACAAATCTGTAAGAGAGTATTTATTTATTGAATATGCTGCAAAATGCTAATACATATAAATTTAATGTGAAACTCGATTACATACCTTACTAGTAATTGCAAAAATAATAAAAAATAAAAAAGTAGAAAAAATGCATCTATGATGCTGCAAGCACTAAATCTGTAAGAAAGTATTTATTTATTGAATTTACTGCAAAATGATAATTCAAATAAATATGATGTTAAATTTGTGATCAGAATTATATCACATACTTATCCTATCAGCAATGATGTTTTGGAAAACATTCAGGATGTAATCCTTTCAAACAGTGCGTACATATTGTTCTCGATCTTCTTTTTAGGCCTAAACTAGTGCAAACACAGCATCTAGATTCTTTTTTTGCTGGCAATTTTCGCAAATCTCTTGGTCCTAGAGGATGAGGATCTTCAGGTTGTTGTTTGGTCGCCATCCATTCCGCCTCCAAGATCTCTATTATTGATACGTAAAAGGCGTACCTGGGTTTTAGCTTTCCTGGGCCTCCAAAATTTTCTTTGTATAATATATATGAGTTCAACACCATCCTGCCTATGATGTTGAACCCAACTTTCTTCCAGTATTTCACGGTCTTTCTCTCATCCAAGTACGCATATAACATCATATCTGACGTATCGACCCCACCCATAAATTTATTGTATTCTAATATTATTTCTGGCTTTGACTTAGTTACATTACGCTTAACAATTTCTTTTGCACGCGCCCTCGCATGGCTGGATAGTAGCAAGACCGGAACTTTTTGAGATGCTTTTTCTCTGAATCCACAGGCTAACAACGGCCCGGATCTAAAATAAGATGTTTGGCCCACGGAAAACTTCGACGATTTTAGTGGGGCGGGCAGGTATTTTCGATTTCATCGAACAGTGCCAGTTATGTAGGTACCCATTGTATATAGATGTCGAACAAGAGGAACCGACATGAAGAAATTATCTACAAAAAGATGATAGCCTTTTTTGAGGTACGACGCTGTATCCTAGACCAAATTTAGAATTGATGTCCTTTTCCTGCTGAGTCCTGGCCCCTCTATAAGTGAAAAAACTCAAGCAGTAATTAGAGACTGAGTCTCACAGCATCCAAAATTTTATGCCCCACTGATGATGATGTTTTTTTGGAAGGTACTGCAGGAGCGAGGTTTTATTTTTTGTACCTACAAGGCTCTCATCCACACAAATTTGCTGGTGTGGCGTGTAGTGATGTCGGAACACTCTGTTAGCATGATCAAGCAGGGGTTGAAACTTTGCACAAGGATTGTATCCTTGTTCCCCTGGCTTGGATAACTTAGTGTTATCGACAAAATGGAAAAAACGTAACAAGTGATAAAAGCGGGTTCTTGGAAACATTTTACCAAACCATGGAGTGGTTTGGGAGGAAGAAGTGGACCAGTAGGATGCTATTGTAGGCTTTTTGATTAATCCCATGTTCAATATACATGCTAGGAACCCCTTTATTTCTAAAACCGAAATTTTGGTCCAGTTCTTCAGAGCAGGCGGTACGTTATTCCCCATGCCATTTATGACTTGTTGTGCGTAACGGTTTGATTCCGTTACGATCAGATGGAGCAAAGTCATTGTAACAAAAAGATTGAAATATGCAATCGGAGGTGAATCTGGCGGTGGCATATGCTTAGGGCCAGCAAGCTCTAGGAAAGAGAAAGGAAGTGAAGAAGATTGCTCCGGAGATAGAACCTCCTGATAGTCCTCATCATCGTCATCATTTACCGATTGCGTTTGATTAGAGGCGCTTGGAGGGGAAATATCCTCATCAGAATCATCTGATCCTTCAAATGCACTAAAATCAGGATCAGAGTCAGACTCTGAAATAGTGTCTGAGAACTCCATATAATCTATAACATCGGAGTCATCTGAAACTTTTTAAATCTTTGATGTTGATGCCATAGTTATAGTTGAGATAAATTTTTGTAAAAGTTGATAAATCTAATAAAAAAAATAAACTATATGTAACGATATGTTACAATATAAACCTAAAACTAAAATAAAATTACGATAAATGAATCGAAAATATGAAATAGAACGATAACAAATAACTTATTTTATATATATGATTCGATATAAAATTGAAATTTATAACTAAAATTATAAAATCTATACCTTATATATCTTACATAGGAAATTATTTTATATAGAAAACTATATAGAATAACGAAAGAATAAGATGAACAAAGAATAAAATGAACAAAGAGACAAAATGGCAGCTTACCTGCAACACACACAACAGAAGTCTTCAAGCAACAGAGCAAGAGTGAACTTTGAAAATTCCAAACAAAGGTTATATAGGTCAACAAAACACCCCCTGGCCACAAACATGTGAAACATAGCGTTAGCTATACGATGCCGTCAAGTGCTGACATCTGTTGTCGATAGATTTCATAAAAAATTATTTTTACCAAAGTACACATGAATCGTTACCCTGGTCATTTTCATTGAAGGGGGGAACGACTGGTCGTTACCCCGGTCATCTACGAGTTAATCTTCCACAACCTGGAGGCCATCCTGGCCTTAATGTGAACTGGAATCACGCCCGCTATAACAAGAAGAGCTGAGGTCGGAGCTGTCTGATAGGCTCTACAGATGCATAGGGCAGCAACCCTTTGGGCCTTGAGGAGCTTTTTCTGTATGTAGGTCTTGGTGGTAGCCTCAGCCCAGACGGGAGTGGCGTATAGGCTCAATGGCCCCAAAATAGATGAGTTTAGCTGCTCTGTAACCAATGCCCCAGGTGTTCCTTGCGATGCTGATCAGGGCGTTGGAAGTCTTTGTTGCTTTGGCCACAACTATGTCAATGTGATTAGTCCACTGTAGCTGCTGTTCTAGAACAACGCCGAGATACTTGAAGTCCTTGACACATGGAATGCAAATGTCATTGATTTCAATCCGAGGGCTGCGTTGCAGTGGAGTGCTCTTTGAGAAGATAATGTAAGAGCATTTCGCATGGTTGATAGAAAGGTTAGTGCAGGAGCACCAGCCTGAGATTTTAGTGAGAAGGTCATTAGCCAGGATAGATAAGTTGTTACAGTTCTTATCAGACACTAGGAGAATGCTGTCGTCGGCATAGCCCTGCAGGAGGTGGTTGCCAGTTGTTTTGTTTATAGTAGTAAGCAGGTCAATGTGCACGATGGTCCATAAGCCGGGCCCCGCAACAGAGCCCTGCGGACAACCCTTGGTGACATGATGACTGTAGCTGTAGTTATTCAAGAAGAAGCCAGCTCTTCTATCGTGAATGAAACTTTTGATAAGATTGTAGAGGTTCCTAGGGCAGTTGTGTGCCTGAAGTTGTTGAAGAATGACCAGTTATCAAAGGCACCGTGGAAGTTGATAGAGACCATCAGCGTGTGCCTACCCGTAGCTTTTGCATTCCGGATGTAGTCAACAACATTTGTGAGGGCCGTAGTAGTAGATTTCCCTGGCGTGAAACCATGTTGGTGGTTGCTCAGGACTCCCCTTCTTCTTAAACACGTGAGTACCCTTGTGATGACCATCCTGTCAAGGACTTTGCCTATGACAGGAAAAACGCACCATGGTTTATTAAATTTGCCGCAGAACTGTCTTCACGTTTGATGCTGCTTCTTATTGATAAGAGTTTTATATTCATTGAACTACCTGGTGTAGTTATTTTTGTGTAGAGTCCTATCGTGGCAGTTTTGGTGGTGTTGGTAAATCTTACGCAGCCGTCTGACTTCTCTGCGGTGGTTGAATAGGTTGGAGTCCCACCAAGGGGCATTGGTGTTTGATTTAGTGCTTTTCATGCTGGCAAGATGG